AATGGTATATATCACCTATCCGCCGTTACTCTTATTGGTTTCGTGGCGTCACGCAATAACGGTAAGGGTGGGGGATGGGGTGATATATAGGCGCACGTGAAATAGGAACAAACCAGATAACTTTCCTTCTGTAGCTTGGAAAATCCTTCAAATCCAGATACGATCACACCCCTTCCCCACCAAGCAACTACGCCCATTTCCACCCCCCCCCCCCTCCGATTCCCTTAACGATGCTGTAATCTGTATGAGACAGGCCAGATTGCGGCGACGTGACTGGAAATGGCTTCACATGCGCCATACGCGCAAGTAGGCCACAGAAATGAGTCACCACGCCGTCGCCGCGCTCGGCGACCTTGTTTTGAGTCGCCTTCGCAATTAAATGTCTTGACCCACTTTTAGTACAGTCAGTCATGGATCAGATACTGCTAGGTGCTGCCAATCATGAAAAAGACAAACTTACATCGACATGTAACCAGATCTTGTGTCGTTCGCAGATATCGGCTATCTTATCAATAGGATCCCATGCACCATAGACCGTCGTACCGGCCGTACAGCACACGAACATCGGTGTCAGTCCTGAACATTTTATTGATTTATCGATCAAATTTCAAGGTCGTAGTATCCCTGGAGAAGCCACCCGAAATGCTAGTCAAAGCTCCTACACAGGGCACATCGTTGTTGGTGGAATCCCCAACAGGGGGGTCGTATTTGGCCGCCAGGAGAGGGGGGGGGTCGTATTTGGGCTGAGAAAAATTTATTTTGATAGTTGATTTTCTCGCTTGTAAAAGCGGGGAGGGGGTCCGGGTTAGTGCTAGCGTTTTTTGGGTCACGGCACTGCTGGGAAAGGGGGGGGGGTCATCCGTAGTGTTTTAGCCTTCATAGGAGTGGTGCTTGACTCATGTTCTCGTTGATTTTCCTGTTTCATCGTTCTATTATGCGTAGCCACAGAGCTGCACGGTCCGTACGAAAATTTTTGGGGAAGTAGAGTGAGTATTTTCGGGGAAAGTTTGCGAAAAAAAGAACAAGACAGAAAAAAAAGAAGAACTTATGGAAGGGGAAATATGAGAATTGGTGGGAATTTGGTGGAAGGGGGGGGGGCGGGAGGCTCGTGTTGTCTGGCGGCTTCGTGTTAGATGTGCATTTAACACCCTCCCTCCCGTCGAAGCCAGAGGGCGGATGAGAGGGATCGTCCAAGCGCCCGAAAAGAGGGGGGAGGGGGGGGTCGTACGGAACAAGACAGAATCCCCCAACCAATGATGTGCCCTGCTCTAATCAATTAATCAATTTCTCCAACTGACCCTCTTTCTTGCTTTCGATAATTTTCTGCTCCAAGGCCTCAGGGATCATCTTCCCGGCATTATCTGTGGGAATATTAAAACAAAATCACTGCCAATACCGCATACAGCTGCTGCGCTCTTGATCGAATAGTGACTCTGAAACTTGGCAATATTCCAAAGAGGACAAATCGATAATAGGGAAATTTCAGAGAAATTACAGCACTGACGTCTTCACTAGTAAAAATACACAACGTTGGCACATCCTTCAGACCGACGTATTTGCTACGAGGATATAGCGCGTGTCTTGCTGTGCTTACTGCGTACAGATTCGCAATGGCACCACCTGAATCGATCTATTGATTAATTCGAGAGGAGCTATTCGATTAGACACTGGAAATGGACCTGGAGCGAAAATGCCGTCTGCTTGGTCGACATCCCAACCAACTGCCTCCCACATTCGTTTCATCACAGCTTTCTCCATAAGAATGAACACTGGCGAGATTTCATAGGTAAACCTGGAATCACTTCTCCAGCAGCGATATGAAATGTCGCGCTGCTCGGCTAGGGAGGGACATTCTGCACTTTCTGCAGTTAATCTTAAAGGCAGTTGGCACGATAAATCCCTAAAAACGAGTAGGATTGGTACGAGTGGCAGGGCGGATTTCCGCGACCCTGAGTAGGCGCTGCATAGCGGTTTTTCCGAGGGAGGTACCCTTATAAGGGTCCTATCAAGCTACAACATTCCGACCCAAACGCCCGCCCGCCCACAAATGGACGACCTTACCAGATGCTCGTTTGCTTCATTTGCTGAGTAAAACATAAAGCGAAGGGATTGGTATGAAGCGGCTGCGGTGCTGAATGGATATATGAGTACAGTCCTCATCATTGCGGACCGGTGGGGCGTGTCAGCCAGAAGGAGTGCGCACACTGTTGAAGCCGTTCTCAGCCTTTTTTGTTGCAACGCGTATGCGACAAAAAGTGGTAGAAAACGAGTAATACGAAGGAATAATACAGTAATGCACT